TGGGATCTTTGCTATCAAAATGACCCTCCGAGGCTATGTTGATTTTGTGAATAAAAATTAAATTTGCCAGCCATCTAGTTATTCAATTTGAATATATTTTTTTTAATTTGTAAATTATATTGAGATTTACAAAATTAAAAAAAGTTTATCAAATTGGATTACTGGATGGTTAGCAAATTTGATTTTTATTCACAAAATCAACATAGCTTCGGAGGGTCATTTTGATAGTAAAGATCCCATTTGTTCTTTATTTATAAGTCGTATTTCATATTTTTTAATATTTTTTAATATGATCTTTTGGTAACTATATAATATGAAATTTTTACTACGTATCAGTTATTAAATGCCCGTCGTCAATCATTTTATACCCTTCCGATTTTCTACTTAACTATACTGTATATAATTTAGCTATATTTTTGTTAATAATAAAAGCCCTTTTTTGTAATATTTATCAAAAGCTAATACGTCGTAAAAAATATTTATAACTCAAAATGGTTATTTTAATACTAAAAAATCTTTTTTATATTAAACCAAAATTAATTTTATTGCTTTATTTGTAACAATAATACGTACACTGTATATTTGCCAATATATATTAATAAGATAAAAAATTTAGTTAACAAGTATATATATACTATATATATAAATATATATATACACGTATTAAATTAATACTACGTATCTAGTGTACTACATATAGATGATTAATTCAGTAATTTATTAAACATGCCCGATTTTATTAAAATCAGATTAAAAGTGTGTTATATCCCTTTGTTGTTAAAACTTTAGTTTTTATAAACTAATGCTATCTCTTCGAATTAGAGTTATAAATTATTCAACTTTAAGAAATATTATATGAAAAACACTTGCTAAAGCAAGCAAGGCGAGCCTTCTTGCCAGGAAAAAATTATTTAACGTTTAACAAAAGTAGATGCTGGAGCCATAAACGACTGCCACATGATTCAAGGATCGAATTCTTAAAAGGATCGGTCAGGACTCGATCTCAAAGAATGGATTAACGTCCCTAAACATATTATATACTATGAATGTTGGTTGGTAGATCATATGTATCGACAGAATATTTATTATATCAGATATGATACCCGATACGAGTTACCGTGCCTGTTTAAAAATTTTTTATGAAACCCAGATTCATTTTGCATAATCTAAGTTTATATTTATTTTTGTCAGATGTTTTTTATTGCAACCTTATAAACCTAATTTGTGATAATATTGTAATTAATTTTATAATTAAAAAACTTTAATAAAATTTTTACAGCCAAAAAAAAAAACTATTTTAATACATAGTAATGAAGATTTGTTTATTATAATAATTTTTGATAAACAAATAAATTCACCAATTGATTCCTTTTTTGTCACATAATCCATAAGTATGTACTCTGTGATACAGGATGTGTTTGAGAACCTTCAGGTTACGGTGACACGGAATTACATTACTTTAGTAAACTTTATTAAATTGTACCTACTTACACGTTCTTACTGGATTTAAGGCTACGTTTTTCGAGCATTCTTTGGAACTCCTTCAGGCCCAATGAATAATAATTCCCACGTTGTTAAAAAGGGATACATTTCCGTGAAGGAGGATGGTTTAAGAGCCTGGATTTGGTCAAAACGATGGATGTTGCTTAGAGAACAAACCCTCACGTTTCATCGTAACGAAGTAATCTTTTGAACTCATCTTACATTTCTCAAGTATAAAAAATATTATTATATATTATTATATAATATTAACACTACCTTCTTTTGCCCTTACAGAATACTTATCAAGCTGTTGCGTTGATTTTCCTCAAGGAGATTAACAGTGTTTCGCGAACAGAATTGAAACCTTACTGCTTCGAAATTCAAACTAAAGATAAAACTTATTATCTTTCTTGTAAAAATGATGAAGAATTATACTCATGGATGGATGAAATTTATAATGTAAGTTAGTTTAAAAGAATTTCGGTGGTTCCTTAAATTGTTTCGTTTATAAGGAGTTTAAAATTATTATTTATTTATGTGTGAGTGAATTTATACCATGCAAATATAACGCATAAACGTAATAATACTACAACTATTACAGTAAACGTCATAATAGTATTTACCAATATTAGGCAGAAGTCTCAGTTTAAATTTCTGACAGACTATGACTAATCAACATTTTAATAAATACCTATATATTTTTTTCTCTTAACATTCAGCGGTCACCTCTCAGTGGTGTTTCAAATCCAACAAATTTCGTACACAACGTACATGTAGGGTTCGATCCTGTTAGTGGACTGTTCACTGTAAGTTTTCTTCCAATATTAACGATCTTGTATTCGATTATTTCCGAAAAATTGAAAAATAATTCATTTGATGTACTCATGAATTGTGTAGGGGATGCCAGAGCAATGGACTAAACTCCTTACATCATCAGCAATTACTAAAGAAGATTACGCAAAAAATCCTCAAGCTGTTTTAGATGTATTAGAGTTTTACACGGAAAATCAAAAACGAGAGCAAGAAGCATATGGACAGCACGGTCTGTTAGGACCGATTACCGGATTTCCAAACGCAGATGACAAATGGGCTGACCTATTACCAAAAAATAATAATACGCCACAGAAAAATCAACTATATCCTAGCCCTAGTGGTGGATCTAATGGATATGATATGTCTTCTAAGATATCACCGGTAAACAGTGTGGGCAGTATTAGAGTAGATCCAGATTCTTCTAGGAATAATAACGATGTAATAATTATTTAATTTTTTATTTCGTATATGTTTTATCCATTATCTCGTGGACAGATATTTACTCCACGTAAATCTTTCATTCTTTTAGCAACAGGTAACTCCACCAAATCGTCCTCCGATCACACCAAGACCTCCTAATACTTTAAGTTCTAACAATGTACGTATAACTCTAAATTATAGTTCATATCACAATTGCTTCAAATTTAAATAACCTTTTGAATAAAATTTTTTTTGGACTAACAGTACAATCAGCTTCAACAACAATCTATACCCCAATCTTCTCAACGTGTTCCTGAAAAATATCAACAATCGAACAACTATCAACAACCACCTCCATCATTAGTACCAATGTCTCAACAATCTACAAATTATTCGTCGTCTTCACAACAACAATCGCAACAACAACGTGTTCCAAACCCCAATCCTCCTCAACAACAACAGCAACCTCCACAAGTTACTCAACCACCTAAACAGACACCATCCCCATCCAAACAACAGCAATCAGCAAAGAAACCTGCACCTGAAAAAAGAATTAGCACAATGACTGAAGCACAAATTATGGAAAAATTAAGATCTGTCGTTTCTCCAGGTGATCCCACAGCTTTGTACAGTAAAATCAGGAAAGTTGGTCAAGGGTATGCATTATTTATTATTTATTATTTATTTTTAGTCATTTTTGTTAAGAATCTTTTATAAACATCATCATATCTAAATAATATTGGTATTTATTATTTAATTAGTGCATCTGGATCCGTATACGTTGCTAAATCTCTCCAATCTAATGCTAAGGTCGCTATAAAACAAATGGATCTTTCACATCAACCACGAAAAGAACTAATTGTTAATGAAATTCTTGTGATGAAAGAATCTCAACATCCAAATATTGTCAACTATCTTGATTCATTCTTAGTAAAAAGCAACGAGCTTTGGGTCGTCATGGAATATATGGAAGGTGGTGCTTTAACAGATGTTATTGATAATAATACGTTAGAGGAAGATCAAATTGCCGCAATATGCTATGAGGTATAAAATATTTCCGTTTATTTATTTATATTTATATATTATATATAATGTTATTTACTTTCTTTCTAATTTGTTATTTTTTTTTTTTTTTTGGTGTAGACATGTAAAGGCCTTCAACATCTTCATGGGCAAAATATTATTCACCGCGATATTAAAAGCGATAACGTTTTGTTGGATGCGTTTGGCCATGTTAAAATAAGTAAGATAAATTCAAAATAAAATTTACTCAATTTTCATTTCAATTTTAAATTTATCTGCTTTATTTTATTTATTTGCTTATAGCCGATTTTGGATTTTGTGCTAAGTTAACTGACCAAAAGAACAAACGAGCTACAATGGTTGGTACCCCATATTGGATGGCACCTGAAGTTGTAAAACAAAAAGAATATGGTGCAAAAGTTGATATTTGGTCTCTTGGTATCATGGCTATCGAAATGATTGAGAATGAACCGCCATATTTAGATGAAGAACCACTTAAAGCACTGTATTTAATTGCCACAAACGGAACTCCAACTTTGAAAAAGCCAGAAAAATTGTCACGTGAATTAAAAAGTTTTCTTGCAGTCTGTCTTTGTGTAGATGTTAAGAGTAGAGCAACCTCATTGGAGCTTTTGGAAGTATGTATTCTTTGCTTTTTATTAATTGCTGCGATATTATTTATTAATGTAATTCATTTTATTTTTCAGCATGACTTTCTCAGAAAGGCCTGTCCACTATCAGATCTTGCACCCTTGCTTAAATTTAAAACTGCTAAGGATGGCAGATCGTGAAGTTTTTATTCATATATATTTAAATTGTTTTTTTTTAGCTTTCCATGATGTAATAGAAAAAATTCAATTATATTTATACAAAATCCGGAGGTTATATTCAATAATGGAGGCATGGTTACTATCTTATTTGGTTAATTTTGAAGGCTATTTAATACTGATTGATTTTGTGTACAGTACATTTCTTAGTACATGATACTGTACATTGTAGTAGGTAGATGGTGATGTTGTATATATTTTTATATACCTTTCTGTTCATTACTGAAACCTTGGTCTTAAAAAAAAAGTTTTTTATTTATACAATATTTTATATAAATACAAACTCATTATTCATATACACTACAAAATAGTATATTATAATACTGCTTAATAGAACTACACAGTATCTAATAATAAAAAAAATTATCGTTAAATTTATTTCAAATAAAGATCACTTTTTTTTTTGTTTAATTATTTAGGTTATATTGTTTAACTTATAAAATTAATCGCAAATACATATAAAATGTAAAGGTCCGGCCCGATGAATAATATATATTTATCAATATCAATATATATAATATATATATTCGGAAATTAACAGGCATATAATGGGGGTTTCAAAGTTAAATAAATGACGAATTTCAAAAATAAATAGGATTTTTTCAATAACATTTTGCAATATACTGTATATCAGATATGTCCCGAATTTTTTGCCAACCCACTGTTATAAAGCTGATTGTCTTAGTTTTCCGAATTTCTTATACAGTATACATAACCAAGAATCAACTATCAATTTTTTAAAAAATCGACTCAGTCGTCTAATTCTACATATACCGATACTAAAATTTCATTATTCGGAGAGTACTGGACATAATGGGAAAGCAATGACCAGATTATGTAAAGACAAAATTTCCGAATTTGGGCTACAAATCTAATTTTTTTGTAAACTATCAGCAAAAACATTGTTTTTGACTCACCTGACCCATTTTTATTGACCGAAAAAAAAAACATCGTGGATATCATGAGTCAGGATAACAAGAAAGTACACAAAAAATTTGATATTCAAATATCATTCTTTTCAAAGTTCAGTTTGAAAATATGTGCACATCGAATATTTTACCAAGCCTAACGAAAAATTAATCGCAATTAATTTTTGTTACAGTATACGTCTTACAATTAAAATCAATTAAAATTATCATGAAATAAATCGAAACCCAATTAGTTGACAAATAATTGCAATTAATTGCAATTAATTCAATTTTCTTTCACTATACCACATAGAACCTGCATATAATACCTAGTGTGACCTGATTTTAAATGGCGAAAAATTAAAAATTATATATATACATGTATTTAACAATCTGACGGCGAATATATGATACGTAAGATAATTACGTAAAATTGCAATTAATTGCCCCCACAACCAATTATTTGGTAGGTCCGTTTTTTACACTGCTTTTCAACTCAAAATCGCACTGGCTATATATATATATTTAACCTACATTTGATTCTCAGTAGTCAAGAACTACACGAACTATACCCAGTGATGAAAATATCTCCAAACAGCTAACATTTATTTCCAGAAAGTAATTCACTTTTCCAAATACTCCAACATAATGTGCACGCCACGTCATTAATTAAAATCGATGTGAATCTTTTTAGTTAATAAAAATGTGTCAAATGGTCAAAAACAATGTCTTTGCAAACTATCAATGTAGAACTTTATTAAATGAAATTTAATTTGAATTTTCAAAATCCATTTTATAAACATACGTATAAAATTCTATATATATATATATATTTAATCGAATTTGTTTAAATACTTTGGCTTAAAATTTTAGAAATTTAAAATTATAAAATATTTTGTCGATATTTACAAACATAAAAATTCAATTTTTTTTTAGTTATTTTTTATTACAAATATATACGTATACACGGTAGAACAACTTAAATTTTTATTTATAAAACAACAATAATAATAACGATAATAATAATAATAATAATAATAATAATAATAATAATAATAATAATAATAATAATAATAATAATAATAATAATTTT